GGATTGCTTCTTAAGAATGAGCATGCTGCCAAAGGAAGAGTTGATTATTGTCGCTATAGTCTCCAGACCCTAGAAGTGAAATCGAGTGCAAAAGCTTGCAGAGGACCAGTGCAAACAGGAATATATTGGAGATAAAAAAATCTACTAAACTTCATTGCCCTTTCATTAATTTATCAGAATACTACAGCGCGGGGCTGGAACTGAAATTGTACAAGATGATCTGACTGTCTTTAGTTAGGTACCTTAAGAAGTGAATATTTCATTGGTGAACTCCAGCTTCTACCTATTCTGCAGTGTGTTATGACAGGTAAAATTGCTCCCAAATCTAGAATACGTCAAAACAAAAGGCACAACAGGTAAGCTACCATAATTAGCTTTTTTAGTATCCTCAAGCATTGATCTGAAGATGGAAATCTAAAGAGATTTTGAGGACTCAAGGCTAATACAAATGCTGAATGAGATTACAGATTCATCTTGTAGATGTAGCTGTGCTGTATCCAACCAGTCAAAAGTGTTTCTTGGCAGTAATATTTCAAAACTCTGAAGTATCAAAGTCATTAATGGTGAAAGAAAAAGTTTAAAGCTCCCAAACAAACAGAACGTGTTCTTTACCCAGTGGGATCTGCATGCATCTGAGATATCTTACCACCTTATGTGGCAATAACAACCAAAAGACTGTTCAAGAAGTAAAAGCCAATTGCATGCCAGCATTGCAGAGGAGCCTTACGTAGGTGTTACATTTATATTCTTTCATTGAGCTGTGTAGATTTGAGAGGTTTTCTTTACAGTTTTGTAGCTTCCATTATTGTGGAAGGTCTTATGCAAAAAGTTAACGGGCTGGTCTGAAGTAGTTGACACTTGGACTTGTGTAGATACATTGTGTGAAATTCTGGAGGCGGAATTCCACTACTGGACAAAGTCTTTTGCCAGTTCTAGCAAATTAGTCCATAGTACCACCAGTTTTTTGAAAAAGACTTATTGTCTGTTATTGCTGTCTCAGCTAGCTACGTGTCACAATGAGATTTGGATTATTCTTGTCAAGTCTGGGTTAAAGTTCCTTCTTTCAAGAAAGAAGCAACATCATAATCTTTTTCCTCCCATTTGCTACTACTTTTACTCCCATCAGCTCTACACTCTACAAGGTATGTGGCAGATACCTTTTTTTTTTTTAAAAGTCTCGTGACCACAGGAAGATTTTCATACATGGATTTTGAAAGGTTGGCTACTCCAGTGCTATAATTTCTGTTCAAAACCAGGAATGTTTTGGTGAAATTTTAACTTTACTAATAACCCCCTTTTTTTTCATTTTATCCCCCATTTGCATTACCCCTTTCTGCCACTTTTTCTCCAAGTTCCTTGCAATGAATTCTGTTCTGTTAAATGTATGCCTGTTTACATCAATTCAGTGATGAGCCACAGAAAAACAGAACCCAAACAAACTGTGTTTAGCTGTCTTCTGAATGCTCAGAATGGTCCTAATCTTTATATTTTATGGCATTTCTTTTACCTAAGCTAAATTGAAATGCTGGACGTAAATGCTTCCCATTCTATTGGTGACTACAGATAACAGTATCTACTTTGCAGTAGAGGACTCCCTACAAAATGTGGGTGCATACCTGCAAATACTTCAATATAGTTTGCATAGTTCTGTTATGACAAAATGACATTTGCAGAATACCAAGTTATTTTCATGGTTGACAGCATTCATAATTCCAACGAACAATTTTTTTTTATTATAACATAGGCCCTGGAACTCTCAAAATCATGATGTTGTAATGGAAGCTAAAGGCTATCAGGAAACTGAAAGCACAGTTTCAGATTTCTAGCAGTGTATTCCTTAACTGTGCAGTTTGATGAATAATTTAAAACAAATCAGACTATTAAGTGATACTATAAAATGGCAAATTTAATTACCTTTATCTGCAAAGTTTTGTCATGTGGTAGAAAAGGAGAAGCTAATTTGGACTAATTATAGCTTTTGCCTGTAATTTCACACCAGGAGCTGGTGTAGTTTGGTTTTGCCAGAGATACAGTTACCTGACCTTACGTTTGGTTACTGGGCATGCCACCATATTTTGTTACTCCAAAAAGGAAAAAAGTGCAAATAAAGAAACCTGAAATAATCTTAAAAAAAAAAAAAATTTACACAGTTGTATAGTAAGTTATGGTACGTCTGATATGGCAGCTTGCTTTGATAAGTCCTTGTTCATATTCCTACATTCTGAGAGGAATTTATTTTTAATTGATTAATGCTGGAGTGTATCACCAACATCACAAGACTGCTGAAATAAATATGCCTACAGCAACTTAATAGAACAAAAAAGGCAGATTATTTTGAAATGGTATTAAAATGTGGATTTCGGTTACGTTTAAAATACTGATTCTTCACATCCACGTTCATCATAAGGGAAGGTCAAAGATCCCTGTCTGGAACCCTTCCTGCACAGAAAATGTGAGTGAAAACTTTTTTGGACAAGCTGATTATAAATACAAAGGTCAGACAGTACTCTAGTTCGAGTCCTGAAAGAATTCAAATTTGAAACTGTGTAACTACTATCTGTGGCTTAAAAATTTTGCTTAAAACTTTCTCTACCTGAATAACAGGTGACAGGTTTTGGTTTTTGGCTTATTGTTTTTTGGGGTTTCCCCCCCCCAAAAAAAGTCTCTATAAATAGTATTGTGAACAGATTTGATATAAAAATTATGTGTCAATTTGGCTATTTTAGATGTAATTCACTTTCATGTTCTTCAGAGGAGTTCGTGAATACAGGGACAAGGTGGTTCAAGTAGTCCATTTGGATTTACAGAGGGCTTTCAGAAAGGTCTCTTACCAAGTTAGACAGAGAGAGGCAACAGCATACTTAAAGACGTAAGTGCCTTTTGTTTGAGGAGCAAATCTGTAGGGTGGAATTTGCTCTTCGGTCTACAGGAGAGAGTGGCCTCTAAAATCACAAGTGGTGCAGAGAACAGTGTATATTTATTCACTGTTTTTCATATAGAGGCAGATCAACAAACTCATGAGGATGCAGCTTAAAAATAAACGAGTACATTTTCATATAGCAGATTTTGCAATTC